CAGGGGCTTTCTTTGTCTTGCTCATTTCTGGATACGAGCCTGGCATAGTACCTAAACATAGTTTACATTTAAGAATGCTTGCTAACTAAATGATGAGAAGAATAAAAAATACCTAAGTGGTTGCATTCACACCAGTTGGGTCTAAAACTCCAGGACTTAGCACAGCTAGCTCCATGTAGGTGGTGGCCGGTCACTGATCCTCCCTCATTTTCAATCCTTACTCCCAATGCCATGGAAACATATTTCATACCCAGGCCACATTAGTGCCCAGACATTTACTACCTCTGCTATTAATTTGCTTGTTTTGCCACATTATATCATGGGAGGTCACTTTATGCTATAAGCTGTAATTTTTGAATTTTATGATATAAATTGACCTGCTTTGGGAACCAGGCTATAAAAAGGATCGCTGCTGAGGAGGTCAAGGAAAAGTTATGCAGTGGTGTTAATGGTTTTAATTAAAGCATTAATTTTATAAAGTTTTTGTTGAGGGCTTCATATGCCTGAGGTCTTCAAGGAGCTTCTGGTAAGGAAGGAAAGGTATATTCACACACACACACACATTTCCTGGGTGCAATCCATTCCTGTACTCAGGAGCAGAATCATCTTCAGAAATGCCATTGGGTCATGCTCTTTCCCTGTTTAAAGCCTCCCAATGTATTTAGAGTAATCTGAACTCATTACCATGGCCTGCATAATTGGGTCTTGTCCCCTTGAGCACGGCATTCCAGGGGACATTGGCTTTCTTTCAGTCCCCTCCAACAAACCCAGCTCTTACTTGCCTCAGGTCCTTTGCACTTGTTGTCCCTGTCTGAAATCCTCTTCTTCTCATTTGTGGCTCCCTCAGTCCTTCATGTGTCAGAAGATGCCCCTCAAAGGAATCTTCCTGGAGCACCCAAAGTAAGTTAGCACCACTACTACCCAGGCCCTTGAAGTTCTATTCCCTTTATGGGATCCTAAATGGTCTTATTTATTTTTTAATTTCTTTTCTATTTCCACCAACAAGAATATAAGATCTGTGAAGGGAGGGAAATTGTCATTCTGCTCATTGCTGTTTCCTTGGGGCCTAGCACAGGGCTAGATATGAGAAAATACATAAACTACATGATATCAGATAGTTATAATTTTATGAAGGAAATAAAACAGGGTGATGAGACAGAGAAAAGTGAGAGAGCTGGATCGGGGCATTGGTAAACTGTTGCCTGTGAGCCTAATCCAGCCTGCCATCTGCTTTTGTAGTGCCAAGAAAGTAAGAGTGGTTTTTATATTTTTAAATGGTTGAAAAATCAGAAGAAGAATGATGGCTTATGACACACAAAAATGACAAGAAATTAAAATTCCAGTGTCCTTTGGTAAAGTTTCATTGGATCATAACCCCTATCATTCATTCACATATGATCTATCATTGCTTTTATGCTGCAGTGGCAGATTGAATACAGTTGACCCTCGAACAACACGAGTTTGAGTTGAGGGGGTCCACTTATACGTGGATTTTCTTCCCTCTCTGCCACCTCTGAAAAAGCAAACCAACCCTTCCACTTACTTCTTCTCCTCAGCCTACTCAATGTGAAGATGACAAGGAGGAAGACCTTTATAATGATCCACTTCCACTTAATAATAAATATATTTTCTCTTCCTTATGATTTTCTTAGCAAAGTTTTCTTTTCTCTAGCTTGCTTTATAGCAAGAACATTGCATATAATGCATATAACATCACAAAATATGTGTTAATTGACTTTATGTTATCGGCAAGTCTTCTGGTCAACAGTAGGCTATCAGTAGTTAAGTACTTTTTGTGAAGTCAAAAGTTACCTGTGCATTTTTGATTATGCAGAGGATCAGCACTGCTAACTCCTTCATTGTTCAAGGGTCAACAGTAGTCGTGAGACTGCAAGCTCCCCCAAGCTGAAAATATTTACTATCTGGCCCTTTGTAGAAAAAAATGGATGACTCCTGATTTAGATAGGTTTTCATGGAAGAGTCCTTAGAGAAGATGATGTTTAAGTTGAGATTTAAATGATGAGAAAGATTAATACAAGGATCAGAAGGACTATATTTAAAGTACCTGAAGCAGAATAAATACTTATGAAACGGTAGCCTTTCTCATTGTGATATGAGCTGTGAATTATGACTTAATCTGGCAGTTCTGTCTTGGGAAAACTAAGGCAGGGTTGGTAAGTAGAGATGAGAACTGAAGGTGGCTACTGCATCGGTCCTGGCAAGAGGAGGGTGTACTTCAAATAACATGGCCGCTGTGGAAACGGAAGTGGAAGTGAGGTGGGAAAACCATGATGGAGTGATGAGTGATGGAATAAATGAAGAGTGCGAGTAGAGATGACAGAAAACACAAGGTTCATAGATCCTCAGCTGAGGCATCATGAGAAGAGCAATGCTACCTGCCATTTCAGAATTAGAAAATATCAGAAAACGGAGATGGCGGCTTAGGTCAAGCTTTAGCTATCTATCTGCCCCTTTACAGAAACAACTGACGACTCTGATTTAGATACTTTTTCAGGGAAGAATCCTTAAAGAAGATGATGTTGAAGTTGAGATTTAAATGATGAGAAGGGTTAATATAAGGATCACAAGGACTGTAACTAAAGTGCCCCAGGAAGAATAAACATTCATGAAATGGTAGCTCTTCTCATTGCGATATAAGCTTTGAATCATGACTTAATCTGGGAGTTCCGTGCTGGACAAACAGGGACAGGGTAGTAAGTAGAGATAAGAAGGCCTGAGGGTGGCTATGGCATCAGTCCTGGCAGGAGGAGAGTGTTAGTTGGATTTGAGGTCATTCTTCCCCAAGCAACACTGACATCAAAACTCCTTTGGGCAGACCAATCTCAGTCCAAGTTGTGCAGTGCTGAGTCTGCTCACTGCTTCCATGGGAGTGAATTGAAGCCAGGCCAAAGACAGCATCCAATTCTTCAGGTTGCAGGCATTGCTTCACGGGTGTGTGCTACCTCGACTTCTGGCTGATTAAACCTAATCTCCATATTTTATTGGCACCCTTGGGAAACAGTCCCTCTATCTACTGGGGCACCTAAACTGGGAGGATATAAATCCTGGAGCTGGTCAAGATAATCTTGACATTTGCCTGACAATGAGACAACACAGAGAACATCTGAGCTGAAAGGTGGAGAAAGACAAAGTTCTGAGGGCATACATCTTTCAAACCAAGGATTCCTCTGTGCATGAGTCCAACTCTATCTTTGGATGGGATGACCTATTACATTTCTTGTTTTTTTTTTTTTTTTTTTTTTTTCAAAGTGAAAGACAAGTTTATTTTATTAGGGAAGTAAATAAACAAAAGAATGGCAACTCCATAGGCAGGGCAGTCACACTTCTTGTTTTACTTAACTACTTTTGATTTGGTTTGCAGTGAATTGTAAATAAGAGATTTTGACAATCACAATACAGAGTTAATATACCGAACAGTTTTAACCATTGCTTCAAAAACTATTTTAGGGCCCATCCCTTCGGAATTAAGGAAGGTATTAAGCTAAATCAAGAGGAGGCTCTCTTCCCTTGACAGCCGGTCATGTGCTTCAGATGAACATTCCTCTTTATACAGTAGAAGCGACTGAGCTGATGTCCACCTTTTTAAGCGATCTCAGTAGACTCATGCAAACTTCCTGGCCACCTACACCTTTCCTATATTTTGGGCCTCTCCTTGTTTGGCTTCTGTATCTCAGCTCCTGCTCTTTGTTTAGCCCCTGTAATAGATCATCCTGATGGGCCCCCATGTTGGTTTGACTTGATTTTGTGCAGTAAGCGAGGATCTCACAAAGGACAGAGTGCCAGACAGGCTCAGAGACAGGGGGAAAGCTGCTAAAAGCCAACTGTCTGGAGTGCTTACAACATGCCCAGGTACTTAAAGGAATAGTTCTCAATGTGTGGTCCCTGGACCAATACCACTGGTATCACCTGGGAGCATGTTAGACATTCACATGGTCTGGCTCCACCTGGGACCTAGTGAATCTGACACTCGGGAGATGGGGCTCAGACATCTGGGTTTTAACAAACCTCCAGGCGATTGTGATGTACAGCCAAGTTTGAGAACCACTGGCTTAAAGCATCACCTGGGATATTTCTTTTAACTCTATCAATCCCTGAGGTAGAACAGTTATACCCATTTTACAGATGAAGAAACTGTGTCTGAGAGGGATTAGGGTGTTTGCTCTTACTCCCAGTGAGTAGTGGACCCTGAATTTAAACCCAGGCAGCCTGACCCTTGTACCTCACTGGTGATCCCCAGAAAAAGTGGATAGATCTACACAGCTGCTCATATTCCCAGGCAGAGTGACTGGCTCGCATTCCAGTTGGCTGGCAGACACACTGTACCGGAATGACATATCCTATTGCCCTTTTGCCAATTCCTAGTAAGCCTTAGGACACATTTCTCAACCTCTAAGGAAGTTTCCAGTCCCAGAGCTAAATCCTAGCTTTAGACCCTGGGGATGGTCCAGGTAACCTTGCCATTTGCCTGAGAATGAGACAACACGGGGAACATCTGAGGGGAAAGGTGGAGAAAGGTAGAGGGCATACATTCTGTGAACCAAGGATTCCTCTGTGCATGAATCCAATTCTATCCTTGGATGAGCGGTTACATTTCTTGTTTCACTTTTGATTTGGTTTGCAGTGAATTGTAGATAAGAGATTTTGATATATACAATGCAGAGTTAACATGCTGGGCATTTTTTTTTTTTTTGACAGGGTCTCTCACTTTGTTGCCAGGCTGGAGTGCAGTGGTGCAATCACAGCTCACTGCAACCTCCACCTCCTGCGTTCAAGTGATTCTCCTGCCTCAGCCTCCCGTGTAGCTGGGACTATAGGCTTGTACCACCACACCTGGCTAATTTTGTATTTTTTTAGTACAGACAGGGTTTCTCCATGTTGGTCAGGCTGGTCTTGAACTCCTGACCTCAGGTGATCTGCCCGCCTAGGCCTCCCAAAGTGCTGGGATTACAGGCATGAGCCATCATGCCTGACCAACAAACAAAACAGTTTTAACCATTGCTTCCAAAAATTTCAACAAACTTCCGCTCAGGTCCACTGGGATTCTAGGGATTACACAGAGCACAGGGGACTTGTGCTCATCCACTTGCAGCCTCTCCTCGTGAAAATCACCTCCACCCTTCTAAATCCCCCTTCTTGTGCACCGCGTTTCTCCCCAGTTAATGCTGTATAGTTAGAGATGCCACTTGGTTTGCTGAGATTTATAGGCAATCGCTAATGTTCAGTTATAATTCCCCATTTCAGATGTGAAAATGGCTCATAATATTCAACACAAGGGCCTCTCTACAATGATATATAATTTAAAAATTAACATGAGGACAGAGGAGACTCTGCATTTTTGAACTGGGAACTTAGAGACTCAGAGGTTAAAGCTTGATAAGGTGAGCTCAAGGAATGAGATGAGTTATTAAGCAAATGCCTCTGGTACATGTCTCCATGGCTTCAGAGCTTTTCCTGTGTCTTCCAGTTCACTTGCACTTGTCAAAGTGCAAGTCCACAAATGGTCTATTTATATTAGGGTATTTTTCCCCATTGTTAGGAATGTTCTCTAATTCCTGACACAGACCTTTCCAATATAAACCGTGCTGTCAGAAAGCAAGCAAAGCAGAAAAAATCGATGCTTGAGCTCCAGCAGGGGCCAAACAGACCAGAACAGCAAGACCAGAAAGAGCTTATGGGAATTCTTGAGGGTAAAACCTGTGGCTGTGGTTATGGCATCATTGGCTCTGGCTGGAAATGGACCTAGAAGACTTGGTGGAGTATTTAACATGCCCCTCTCTAGGGAAGGGGATGAAGACTGTGATAGAAATGGAGAAAAAGAGTCAGAGAAAGAGAAAGAGCGCTAGTGAGAAAAGAAAGATAGGCAATATTTCTGCATGTGAGATACTTTGGTGCTTGTATTGGTTCAACTATCCATGGCCTTGTGACCAAGTCCTTATCCCTGGTCTGCTCCGGCATCAAGTGGTTACAATTATGGATTGCAAATTTATTGACATTTGACATCTACCTAAGCTTTCCCCTCATCAACAGAACTCTCTGCCGGCAAACCGAATAATTACACAAGATTTCAGCAGTCATGGGGATGCCAAAAAGGTCACTAAATCATTTGGAAAAAAACAATGTGTTCCTCCAAGTCATCTCTCCAGCAAATCTCCCACAGAAGTCAGGACCACCCAGTGTGGAGGCTCAGAGGAGGGGGTGCTGAATTACAGAATGGAGAGAGGAATTAATTTAGGATTGAAAAATAGGAAGGCGAGCACAGCAGGGACCTTTCGTATTTATACTTTATAACTCCTGGAGAAGAACTGAAATGGTGGTTTACTTTTATCAGAATGGGTTCTTCTTGGGAGACAGGCAGTGATGGGATGCTTGGGAGTCCTGGCGGTCCAGGAGAGACTTGGGAAGAGTAGTTGTGTCCTGGTCCTCTAGAGCCCACCTGGGGCCCCACAATGAGAGGCCGAGGGAATGTTTCCCCATGTGCACATGTCTTCTTTGTTTGAAGTCCCTTCTCCTCCCTAGAACAAGCATGATCCTGAGTGACTTAGAGTTCTCCTGGGTTCACACATTCCTTCCCATGCTTACTGCATCCACTGAGGCTCCAATCAAGGCCATCTGTTCCCAGTCTCCCAACAGCCTCCTCACGCTGCTCCTGCTTTCACTCTGACCCTTTCATCCATTCCATACCCAGTGGCCAGAGAGATCTTCTAAAAAAGAAAGTAGGCCAGGCGCAGTGGCTCACGCCTGTAATCCCAGCACTTCGGGTGGCCAAGGCAAGTGGATCACCTGAGGTCAGGAGTTTGAGACCTGTCTGGCCAACATGGTGAAACCCTGTCTCCACTAAAAATACAAAATTAGCCAGGTGTGGTGGTGCATGCCTGTAATCCTGGCTACTCGGGAGGCTGAGGTAGGAGAATCACTTGAACCCGAGAGGTGGAGGTTGCCGTGGGCCAAGATCACAACATTGTACTCCAGCCTGGGCAAAAAGAGTGAAAATCCATCTCAAAAAAAAAAAAAAAAAAAAAAAAAGAAAGAAAAAGAAAAGAAAGAAGAAGGTAGATCATGCCACGTGCCTGTTTAAGCCTCTTCAATGGCTTCCCTTTGGACTTAAAGAAAAACAAATCTAACATTCTTTTATTTCTCCATCCAGTTAGTATGGTCCCAAAATATCCAAAGTTCTTAGTATGTTCTACAAAGCCTTGACATGTCCCACCCCTGCATGCCCAGCTCACGACACTGGCCTTTCTCTGAATCAAACATATCAGCCCTGCTCCTGTTTCTCCTGCCTGGGATGTTCTGCCTCCAATTTGCCACATGATTGCTATTTTCTCAGCCTCCTCTATTTCAAGTAGGTGGCCCTGTCACAGTCCCTTGCACTACCCCATATTTCCTTGGCAGTCCCTCATCCTCAGAAATTGTCACTTGTATTTATGTGCTCAATAGATGTTAGCCGTTAATATTACTATCAACCTGCATCCCCTGTTTCTCTTATTCTCTGGTGTAGCCCAGGACTCAGAACAGAGTCTGGCACACAGCAGTTCCTCCAAAAGTTCGCATTTGCACCTCAGGAATAGACATTTCTTTTTTTTTTTTTTGAGACGGAGTTTCGCTCTTGTTACCCAGGCTGGAGTGCAATAGAGCGATCTCGGCTCACCGCAACCTCCGCCTCCTGGGTTCAGGCAATTCTCCTGCCTCAGCCTCCTGAGCAGCTGGGACTACAGGCACGCGCCACCATGCCCAGCTGATTTTTTGTATTTTTAGTAGAGACGGGGTTTCACCATGTTGACCAGGATGGTCTCGATCTCCTGACCTTGTGATCCACCCGCCTCGGCCTCTCAAGAATAGACATTTCTTAACCCAGATGCACAAAGATCCCGGCTGAGTGCTAGTCCTTTGGACAAATAATTTCTACAGTGGGCCGGAAATGTTTCTTACATCCACATACTTTTATGTCTGTGCAAAGCCTGAAGATTCATTTGCATTGGCCTTCTGTTAATGCTGGGCACTGTGCTTCATGTTTTGTGTACTTTTATGCATTTGATCTGCTTCATGGATGAGGGATGTAAGTATTATTGTCATTTCACTCATGGTGGATGGCAAAAGGAAGCATAATCACCTCCTAGATAGTATGTGCCTTTCTCCCCCTCCCTCCCTCCCTTCCTTCCTTCCTTCTCTTTCTTTCTTTCCCTTCC